TGCCGTTGAGCTGGGGCGGCCACATGCAGTACTCCTCGGCCTTCTGGAGGATGGCGAGGAACTGCTCCTTAGCGCAATCGGGGAGGCGCTCGATGTCAAGAGGGCAGAGCCTGTCGACACCCTGGGCCTTCCGGGGCCCCAGCTTGCCCGTCGCCGCGTTGAGGCCGAGGAGGAGGAGGAGGAGGAGGAGAGGAGGAGGAGGAGGAGGAGGAGAGGAGAGGAGGGGGAGGGGAGGGGAGGGGGAGGAGGAGGAGGAGGAGGAGGAGGAGGAGGAGGGAGGAGGAGGAGGAGGGAGGAGGAGGAGGAGGAGAAGGAGGAGGAGGAGGAGGAGGAGGAGGAGGAGAGGCGGAGGCGGAGGCGGAGGCGGAGGCGGAGGAGGAGGAGGAGGAGGAGCAGGAGGAGGAGCAGGAGGAGGAGCAGGGAGCAGGGAGGAGGGAGGAGGGAGGAGGAGGAGGAGGAGGAGGAGGAGGAGGAGGAGGACGAGGACGAGGACGAGGAGGAGGAGGAGGTGCAGGAAGAGGGAGGAGGAGGGAGGAGGAGTGACCTTGGGTGCGGAGTGACCTTGCGCTGGAGTGACCTTTGGTGCGGACCCGGTGTGATCCCCAGATCGGGGAGTGCGAAGTTGCAGCAGCGGCTTGCGCGCCCGGGTTTGACCGCGCCGCGTCCCCCTTGAAGCCGCGCACCAGAGGTCAGCCTTGCATAGGGTTAACCTTGCGTGTAGCCTGATGTGGGAGCAAGGGCAGCTCAGCACACGCGAAACCGATGAGCATCGCCCACATGCAGTCGTAGAAGCGACGCAGCATGTGCGCATGTACCGCTGACGCCGAGCAGACAAGCAACGCCCACACGAAATCGTTCAAGCGACGCAGCATACATGCACCGCCGACACGAAACACTGGAGCAGCGCACGCACGAAGTCGTTGAAATTGACATATCAACAGCGAGCGAACTTCCAGATTCTTCCATATTCTTCCAGATCCTTCCAGATTCTTCCGGATTCTCCCAGACGCCATCAGGTTCTCGCAGATTTCTGCGGATCGTCCGAGAAGCGCCCAAGCGTCAAGTGCCGGCAAGATCTCAATGAAGAAGGGGAAGCGAGTCGCACAGCTGTTGGCCTTCATGGTCCGAGGGTGGTGCCGAGCGCCCGGCACCAGCGAAGCAAGCAAAGACAGCGTTCGATGACACGAGCGGCGTCGCAAAAGAGCAACGTGCCGACGCAGGTCAGGTACCACACGCACACGCGGACGATCACAAACCGCACCGGCGTGAGCACGTGTCCAGGACATCGGCGCGCCCACGGCGTGCCGATGCGAACTTGGACTTCGTCGCAACGACATCGGGCTGCGGCCATAACCACCTGCAGGGCTGCGTCCCCCGGGGCGCGCACTGCCCGCCCGCCAGAGGCCCCGTGCGCGATCTGGGCATCCAGGCACACTGCGCTGCCGCCAACCGTATCCCCTTGCAGTTGGAAAACGAGGCGAGGCGGCCCAATAGACACGCGAGCACGGAGCGCATCAATGTGGCCAGAGACAGCACGACCTGGTGCCACCGAGCTTGGGGATGTCACATCGGCCCCCGTTTCATCGGACGCTGCGCGGAGAACGGCTCAAGCCAGGGGCGAGGTCGCAAGGTTGGTTCGAGGGAAGCGTGGGCGACGCGGAGGGTGACGAACTCGCCCAGGCGAGCGCGCAATGCGTCCACGGATGCCGGTGGCTTGCTCATGCGTGGTGGTCGGTTCCAGCCTGTTTTTTTGTTCCATGGGTACGGGTTCCAGAAGGAGTTCGTTGACGCCAGCGATCGATACGTCCGGCAGATCGCCGCATGCGTCACCAGGCACACACAGCCGCGCTCCCCCCATGGGCGCTTCGACGTTGGTGGAAGCGCTGGCGCAAGACACCGTGCTCAGAAATGTCTTTCGTAAAAGGTAGTCGATGAGATGTTAACTGCACGGGGAGGCGCTGGGTTATGAGGAGCGTCAAAAGTTCCAGGTGGGACAGGAGGCGTCCATGCCAGAAGACCGTGCCACGGCAGAAAGGGCATGAGCACAGTACCGAACAGGAGCGCAAGCACGGAACAATGGACGCGACCATGTCACCAAGGAGGAGGCATCGCAGCCCACGCTTGCATCAATGTAAAGCCTTGCGAACATCTGGGACAAAGATAGGCTGCGTGTCTTCCAAACCGCATTATGAGCATGAGGATATGTTACCTCCCAGTGCGCTTGTCAGCTTGAAAAGTTGTTCGGACGAGTCGAGGTGTTCTTGGTCAGCGCCCTGATCCTCGCCCGCGCGTCTCTTCGGAGGCGCAGCGGGAGCGGCGTCGGCTCCGCAGCAAGGCGCGTGCTGGGCGCGAGCGGCTAGAACGGGGTCGAGCTACTGTGATGGCGGAGGCGGTGGAGAAAGCGGCCGAGCCCATGGCGCTCGACTTGCCCGCGCCTGCTGCCACCGCTGGCGCGGAGCTCCACGACTCTTGGGTCGACGCCCTGCACCGCGAGGGTCATGCCGCTGCCGCCGCCGGCGGCGCTGCAGGGAGGCGCGGGCGGCGGCGCGGCCAGGTGGTGGCAGCGTTTTTTGATGACCGCTTTCTTGGCGGCGATGCCGCCCGCGGAGGACGACGCGCGCGAAAATGCGCGCCTGCTGGAGCGGTGCTTCGCGGCGCTGAACGTTCACCGCGACTCCGTTCCCCCCATCCTCGAATGCTGTTTACTGGGCGACCTGCGGGCGCGCGTCCTGCTGGAGAAGTTCGGCCACGCGCGAGGGGGGTGTAGGGGGAGCGGGGAAGGCGTTTCAGAAACATCCTGCTGCTTAGAAAACGCGGGCGCCCCTTCTAAGAACTTTGTGGCAGCTTCTTAGAAGTTGTTCTTAGCGTGCTTCTACGAAGCAGGTGGGTTGCTGCTGCGAAACTGTTTTTGCTTCTAAGAAACAGTTCCGTGCTTCTAAAAAACTGCCGGGGTGCTTCGAAGAAGCGGCTCGCCCTTGGCTTCTTAGAAGGGCGGCCGGCGCCTTTTAAGAGGCAGCCGCTTTCTAAGAAGCCCCCCCCCCTACAACTTGGCGCACGCCGCCATGAAGCCGGAGTGGGACTGAGGAGCGCCGGCTTGCCTAGGCTCCTCGGGCGTCTTGTGGCCGGGCCGCCGCAGTGCGTGACCCAGACATCCCGAGGGAGATCCCTGCTGGCTCTTCCCCTTCGGCTGCAAGCACGCGCGCGCCCCCGTGCACGGTTGCTGCGCAGTCTACTGGGATTCCATATCGCCCAGCCGTGTTCGTGATTCACTTGTGCGTTCTTGGTCATTGCCTCATTGCCTCATTGCCTCCTCCACCTCCTCCTCCTCCTCCTTGCCCTCCTCCTCCTCCTCATGATCATCACAATCGCAAGCATAAACACCGTCGGCAGCAGCAGCGCCGCCGTCGTCACTATTTGTATATATATATATATCTCATATATATATATCATCATCAGCAGAATCATCCGCATCACCAAAAAACGTCATCACCCATTTGCATCACCATCACCATCACCATCACCATCATCATCAGTCGTCACCATTTTGACTCAAGGCCGATGAGGGGCCCCGAAACCGCGAGCCCCCTTGGCGCGTCGAGCGGCAGGGCTGCCCTGACGTCTGGAGTCAAAGCCGCATTGGGTACGTTCAAAGTTATGTGCATCCCGTCCATCGGCGGGTGTGCATTCCTTACCAGTGTTTGCGAGCTGCCGTGGTCTTGGCGGAAGCGGGCGCTGTGACGGAGCAGGCGTCAGTAATGAATGATCCGAGTTGAAGCGTCATCCGCGGTTTTAAAAAGGAGAGCTGGGGCAGCTGGGCTTGGCGCGTCGACAGAAGCCAACTTCAGTGATGGCAAAGCTCGGATAAAGCCTACCGTCACTCATGCGGCAGCGGCAGACTGGCAGCAGCAGGCTACATATGCAAATGCGGAGGCACCAAGTGGACGTCGACACCGCCTTCATGGTCGCACGCAGCACCACCGCCAAAAACTGCCGCGAGTGAGCAGGGAGAGCTCGCCATGGCGCAAGTGCCCGAGGCGGCGACCAATAACGTAGACGACAGCAAAAGAAGGAGCTCCAGAGCGTGCTCGACGGCGACGCCAAGGAGCAGAAGCCGGCATGGCCCGACCTATTTGAGCCAGGCTCGCGAGCAACGCTTCGACAAAATAGCGGGCGCAGCGGGCAAGCGCGGCGCGAGCAAAGGCGTTCAAGCGCGTGGAAAGGCCCAGGGGGGACTTGGAGCTTGGAGCAGGCCGAGAAGGACTACGGGCAGCGGGCCATGGAGCCCGCGGGGGCCGAGGACGAGGTCAGGGAGGGCCGGCAGGGTACCCGCTCGGAGGAGGAGGAGGAGGACGAGCGGCTCGCAGCGAGGAACAGGGAGGGCACCCGCAAGCCCCGTTTCCCCATAGGCGCACTGCTCGGGGATGGAGACTCGGAGGTCGACGCGGGCGAGATCCTCGGCGCGGGCATCATCGAGGACGTCGCGCAAAGGAGGGGCCCGGCGAACTTGAGCGAAGGAAGGCCGCGTTCGGGGCGTCGGCCGAGGAGTCGGCGAAGCTCGCGTTCGCCGCCGCGGCAGCCGACCCCAATGAGCAGAAGGAGCTCGAGCAGGCGCGGGTGGGCAGGTTGCAGAAGACGAGGGGGGTCGGATAACGAACGGGACAGAGACCCGGGGCAGCAAGGCGAAGCGCCGGCCCCGGCACCGAGCGATGGAAGAAGCGACGGCGTCGGAGATGGAGAAGGCGATTTGGCGGGGCAAGGGCAACCTGGAGAAACGTCGGCGGCCGACATATCGGAGGAGGAGGAGTTGGAGAAGAAGGCCATGGCCGATACAGCCAGGGCGCCTTAAGCATCGCATGGGCAGGATCATGACGGGACGGCAGCAGAAGGTGGAAACGAAGCGAGGGTAGCAGCGCCCCCGCGACAGCGGGGGGCCCCGTGGCATGGGGCGAAGAGGGCAAGGAACTGGCAACTGTCCTGAAGAACCTCTAGCGGGGCCCGAGGTCGAAGAGGAAGCTTGTCCCGGGGCCGCACGTGGGTAGGAGCGGGGCCAACGACATCCTGGACTACCTGGACGGCCATGGGGTGGGAGGCAGCGGTCGCCCCTCGCAGAAGAGCAAGCGCAGTGAGTTTGCAGGGGGCATTGCGATGGCGACGAGGGCTCGGCAGTCGGCAATGTCGCTGAGGCGCATGGCAGCGACGGAGGAGCAGTCAGTCGGGCAGAGGGGCCTCGACGCCTTGTGGGAGCGAGGGCCGGTGGGCTCGGGGACATGGTGGCAATGAGCTGGCACTTGACAGGGCGGCTAGTCATGGTCGCGGCATTCGCGCGACAGCGACGGCCGGCATCAAGGCGAGAGCTCCAGCAAGAGGCGAGGCCCGCGGCTGCCGCGAGAGGGCGGGCGTCGGACGGCCATGTGCATCTGGAACGCCGGGCCGAAGCAGCCGCGGGCGTCGGCGGGGGGCCAAGATGTCTAGCGCGGGGGCGCGCGCGCCCGAGGGCGTCAATTACGCGCGCGAGGGGCCCTGCAAGGAGGCTTGATTGCGCGATCGCAGTCGCGTCTTACGCGCGACGCATCCCCCCTGGCCGGGTTTCTTTTTCTTTCGCGGGGGGCCCACTTTCGCGGCGACCCGATGAACCTGCGACCCTTGGCGGCGCATGAAGTTTGCCACTTCTCCCGCGGGCGCGCTGCTGCATGGGGCCCCTGTGCCCTCCTGGCCAGAGTGCACCTGGCACTTGAGTGCAACTGGTGCCACCATGTGCTAACGCGCAGCTACTCCTTGAGCGCAGCTGGCCCTGCAGTGCAATTAGCCTGAATAAGGAAACGCGATAGGATCGCGACTTGGGAGCGCAGAGGCATCGGCTAAGAAATCAGGACAGTATAGCGTATAGCATGTCGATTTCGGAAATAGGACGCGTAGTAGCGTGCAAGTAATATTGATACAATTCCCCAATGCAGCTACTATTAGAGTGATGCTGAATTTCATGTAGCTGAGCTTTCGCATTCCTCTGGTTGCGCGGGGGGGGGGGGGGGGCCGGGCGGGCGCCAGCGCCCCCGCGTCTGAGACTTCCTCTTCCAGAATTCGAGGCAGGGGTGGCCCCCGAGCCCGAGACCCTCGCCGAGGATGTCTTTCTCCCGCGGAAGCTGGACCCCCTGGCTACCTCTGCGCGCCCCGTGAATGCTTTCCTCATGGGCGGTCACCCACGGGTGTCACGTTGGAGATGCCCGGGCCATATTACGCGGCGCGCCTGGAGTCCTTCCAGATGGCGATCGAGAAGCTCGCGTCGGACCAGGGGGGTCCAGGGGGGCCATAGCGGGATCAAGACTTAAGCTCGGGGACGAATCCAGCATGGTTGCAGAGGTCGCCCCACCGCGCGCGGCCCGTTCCGCTCCCCGAAGTTCCGCGGGGGGCGGCAAATCCTGATAGTATGAAGTGGAGGAAGGAAGCGACAGCAGCCAGGAACACGGAGAAGGACGTGGAGGAGACTGGCGAGGACGAGGGGGCCGACACACCCGACGAGGAGGTCAAGGAGAGTTCCCGTTTCCGGTGTTTGGGCGCTCCCCGAGAGCGCAAGTTTCGCGAGGGCGACGGACAGTCGAGCGATGACGAGGGCGGCATCGACGAGGGAAGTTCAGAGATGCAGGAGTCGGTTTTTTGATGTGGAGGCGAATTTGAGTTATCACGAGCGCGAGAGTAGCTTCTTGCTGGAGTTGCTGCTCGAGAGATCGCCGCGGCAGAAACAGGTAGGCATGGGCGGAGCCGCCGACCTGCATCCAGGGCTAGATCGCGCGCCAGTTCGACGAGGGGGGCTCGAATAATCTAGGCGCGAAGTACGGCCGATGGGCGCGCGCGGCGGAGCTGTTCTCCTCGACGGCGCTGGACATCGAGGGGCAGGCGAAGAATGAGTGCGCGGGCAGAGACGAGGTGCTGAAGTTTGTGAAGGGCGCGCTCAAGCTGGGCATCGACGTCAGCGATGACAGCGGCGCTTAAGTCAGGCGGCGGAGCGCGCTAGCATCGCGGTCGGCGGAGTGGCAGAGATGCCAGGGCAGGGGGGGCAGGGGCGAGAGGCCCAGGAACATTTGCAACGGCCTGGACATCGCGCCCCTGCAGACTGGCATCATCGGGATGGTGGATAAGGAGCAGCGGAAGTGGAAAGTGGCCCCGAAGGATGCCCCGAACACGTCGCATAGTCAGCTGCAGGAACGAGGGGCGTCGGCGTTGGCCACAGCAAGGAGGAGCAAGCACGCGGTCAAGGACGCATTGCTGGCGCGCGCCAGATGGATTCAGGAGCAGGACGCGGCCCGGGCCAGGGGGGCCGCACGGGCTTACCAAGGACGAAGGGCGCTGCGACAACGAGGAAGTGGGCGGACATGCTCAGCAAAGAGGCGGCATTCGTGAAGCGTGGGGCCATCAAGGCAGCAGCAGACGAGAGGCACCGGGCGCCGATCACCGACGAGTGCCTGGAGAGAGCCGCCGCGACGATGGTCAACGACATGGCGAAGGGAGCGGGGCAATTCGGCGCGCTGAGTTTCAAGCGGTTGCCGAATAGCGCGAAGCGGGCTGAGGAAGCCCATGGGGGATATCGAGCACGGGGGGCCTGGTCGTGGCAGATGGTGGTCATGCTGGTCAGCCTGCTGAGGAAGGTTGCTGGCGGTGACCCCGCCATAGGGTTGCTGCCCGAGGTGGTCAAGCCGTGGTCGAAGATCAGGAGCGAGTGCGCCAACGAGTGCGCCACTGCAATGGCAGGCGAGTGGGGTGCAGTTGTCGCAGGGAACAGCGCGCTCAAGGAAGCCATGGTTCGGTCGTTTGCCGACGAGGTCTTGGGGCGGGCGCCGCGGGCAATCTACTCGGCCGCGATCTTCTGGGGCCTGGCGGAGTTCAGCGACGTGCTGGAGCCCATCCTCGCCAGGGCGGAGGGCGTCAAGCTGGAATTGCCAGCCCGCGCGCTGCACCCGGGCATGTTGGGCCATCCGGGCGCGAGGCTGATCGGGGAGAGGACAGCGCGCGCGGAGCCGATGGCCCCAGGTAAGCTTATTTGTGCGGAGGCTAGGCCCGGCATCGATTTCGGCAGCGTGGCGCTGGGCGCGGCTTTGGAGAAAGTCGCGAACAAGTTCCCGCAGGTGTGCGTGCAGTCTTGGGTAGATGATGCGGGTGCACGCGTCGAGGGCTCGAGAGCAGCTGCGATTCGGCAGCTCGCAGCCGCTGGGGTGGCTCTCGTCGGCGGCGCCTAGATGGCGAGCCTCGCGATGTCACCCAAGGCGGCGGCGATAGGCAACGACTCAGGGGTGGCGCATGAGGTCCTGCTGAAGTTGCACAACAGGCAGACGGGGATCAAGGTCAAGCAGCAGACGCCCGACCTGATCATCGACAGAGGAGGCGCTGCTGGAGGCGAGGAGAAGCGCGCGAGGAGGTTCGCCGATGCGGTTCGTCACATGGAGGGTCCGCCGAGGACGCGGCAGGCACGCTCGAGGGGGATTTCGAGCGGCGTTGCACAGAGCTGGCGGCGCGCTCGCGCGCGGTGTTCGGCACGGCGTCGACGGCGGCTGCGAAGTGGAGGCGCGGGCTCTCGCGAGGGTCATCGCGCCAGGGCTTCGCGGCTGCTGCCTCGCCACTTTTGCAGATAGGGATGGGCGCCAGCGACCGCGGGCGCATCGCGACCTTCGCTCGGCTGGACTCTTGGATGCACATCATAGGCAGCGGCGGGCGAAACGAGAAGGCGACGATGATCCGGCCGAAGATTGCGAATGCCGTCAAGTTCAATGGGGGGCGCGAACAGGCGGAGAGGAGCTACGGGCATCCCAAAGGCGATGGCGCGCAATCTCCTCGACTTGGTCTGGGGGCCAAAGGATCTTCGGCACTGGGCGTCGGAGGGCGGCGGGGTATCCGGGGGCGACGACCCAGCGGCGCTGGGCGATTGCATGAGCGCCAGCGACCCGAAGCAGGCGATGGCGGAGTCGATCGAAACGCAGTAGCGGAAGGGGGCAGCGAAGCACTGCGCGGGTGGGGGACTCGACGGAGGGGCGGACCTCAGATCGGCGAGGGCTTTGCTGAAGAAGCTGAAGAAAAAGAGGAAGAAGTGGAGCAAGCGCGAGCATTGCGGGGCCAACCTCGCGACCGCGGCGGGAGCGACGTGGCCCGGGCAGCGCGTCGCGGAGTGCGGGGTCGAGATCGACATGAAGTTGCGCCCGAGTCGCGGGCTGGCCAGCGAGACGCGGGCGCGCAGACGACGAGGTGGAGGCGCCAGTGCAACGACGAGGTCGACGAGCGCAAGAGATCGGCCGACCTGGTGGAAGGGGCGCCCGACCAGGCGAAGCTGCAACCGCGTCGGTGGCCAAGAGGGCTGCTGCCGACAGGTTGGACGGAGGCGGCACAGCCAGGGGAGGGCGGCGAGGAGATGAGGGGGGACTTCGGCGAGGTCGTTGCGGTGCGCGGAATCGCGGACGAGGAGGAGTGATTTTGGGCTGCGGCAGACGTGTCTGGGGGAGAGCATGCGATGGGCCCGAGACTGAGGCGTGCATTTCGGGCGTGGGTTGTGCTGAACCAAGGCGGGGGAGCTCCTCTTTTCCGAGTTGGAGGTCGCGGAGGGCTATCCGGCTGGAGGCAAAGCGGCAGCCAGGGAGAGCTACGCGCGCTGAAGGATCTGTTGCACGGGGCGAAGGTCTTGCGAAGGATCCAGTAGCACACCGTGGATTTGAGCTACGTTATGAGAGGACTGAAGAAGCTGGAAGCTGGAAAGATGCCGAAGTCGCACGTGGACCTGTGGGTCGGCATCAAGAGGGCGAATCTTGGCAAGCAAGTGGAGATGACCTAGGAAGAGAGCCACATGAAGGCAGAGGGCGTCACCAGAGGTGGCGCGGGTCTTCCTTGCTTCGCGGGAAACAGCCTCGCGGGCGACCTGGTGGAGTGAATCGTTGATGAGGTGCAGGCACTGGGAGCGGAGGCGAGGGGAATCCATTGGCTGGAGGGTACTGCGCCAGATCAGCCCCGCGACTCATGCCTGAACGCTCCAACCCCCTGGCCAGATTTTGTTTTCTTTCCGCGGGGGGTCAACCTTCGCGGCGACCCGTTAAGCTTGGGACCCCTGGCGGCGCATGGATTTCTTTCATTCATCCGCGCGCGAGTTGCCATTGGAACCCTGGGGCCCCTCCGACTACCGTACAGCTAGTACTTGATTATGTCTGGCACTATCATGTACTAGCGCGCAGTTGCTCCTAGAGAGCACATTGTCCTGCCGTGCAAGTATTAGAGCGCCGTGC